ATATATATATATAGTATATGTATATATATACACACAATTTGCATTTTTGGAAACTTTATACTGTCAACTTTAGAAAAAGTATCCCAGATGTACCATGTTCAGCTGGCACTTTACAGAAATTAACAGCCATATTGGTCTAGAAACACCAAACTTAATTTTTTTTTCCATTTGTACAGGGGTAACGCACTGTATTAATTATGTAAGGTCTTATCTACATTGGTTTGATTACAGAAGCTAATAAAGTATTCTCTAAATAGTGGGGGGGGAAATTACTGAAAATCATTTAGAGAGGCCACCATTCTCAATTAATCCAAAGGGCTAATGTATAAAGATGGTATAAATAAATTTGCATGCTAAGTCTGAAGGAAAAAGGAAAAAAAAAAAGAATCTTGCTGGAAAGATACAAATGGTTACATACAAAGAGGAGAAGGGAAAGAAGAAAGAGTATGACTCCCTAACAAACCCCACAACCCAGTCAGTGGGTGCTATTGTTTTGTGGCTAAACAAGATATAAAATTGTGAAACAGAGGAATTTTGATTCCGCCTACGTCAAAATGCCAATCCATGGGAAGATACACAAGGCTTTCTGCTCCTATAAAGATTTACAGCCTCAGAAACCCCATAAAGGGTCACAATGAGTCGGAATCAACTTGATGGCAATGGATGGGTTTAGTCAAAATACTAGACTTTATAATTTACATATTGTTTTTGCCTGATAAGAGGCTTGTCTAAGACATAATTATTTAAGGCCCCAGTCTTTAATGTGTTATATATATGCATTATTGTTGTTGTTCCATGAAGTCGGTTCTGACTCATAGCAACCCTGTATAGGGTTTCCAAGGCTTTAAATCTTTGCCTCATCTTTAACCCACGGAGCACCTGACAGGCTTGAACCACAAATCTTGTGGCTTGTAGTCCAGTGCTTATCAGATAGAGCCACTGCGCTCCCTCTATATGCACAGAAAGAGAAAAGACTAAAAAATGAAATGTCAACAATCTAGTTAGTAGATCTAGGAATAATTTCTACTTCCTCTTCCCAAGTTTTCTTTACTTCCTAAATTGGATAAATGAGGTATTATGACCTACATTCTGCTAAGGGTGATGAGGAAAACTATGAAAATGGCTAGTGATGATGGTTATATATGGTTAATGTAATTAATGTCACTGAATTGTACATGGGAATTTTTTTCATGGTTTTTAAGATAGAAGAAAACCAAATCACAAGCAAAATAACCTGGAATCAAGGCTAATAGTGTTCATATTTCTATTTCCTTCTTAAACGACTTAAGACTCAATGATATATATAACACGGACTCCTGGTGTGTTGCTGTAGGATCAGTACTGGAATGCAAACCACAGGGTCGATTGCTGAAACCTACCAGGTGCTCCTTAGAAACCCTATACAGAGTGGCTGGGAGTCATAATCAACTCAAAGGCACTTAACAACAATTTCTAACAACTGTTGTTTGTTGTTAAATGCCATCGACTCGATTCTGACTCATAGCCACCCTGTATAGGGTTTCTGAGGCTTTTTAAATCTTCTCAAGAACAGAAAGCCTCATTGATCTCCTGTGAAGCAGCTGTTGGGATCAAACCACCAACCTTTATGTTGCTGTTGTTGTTAAGTGCCTTCGAGTCGGTTCTGACCCATAGCGAC